ACCTCCAGGGCTAAGGTTAATACACGGCCTGGGGAGAGTCCCCAGCAAGGCTCCATGCTTTTGAACTCAGCACTGAAAACCAAACGGACAAACAATCCTCACCATCAGTGAGTGGCCCAGCCTAGTTCAGCAGGCAGGAGACTGCACAGACATTTGGGACCAGAGCCACCTTGCAATAAGGGGTTTAGACGCCACCACAGCGCTTTTCCTACAGGTACACTAGCCAGGAACCTGCATCAGTGAGTGACAGCTGGTCAAGGAGTCAGCTCCTGGCCCACTCACCTCCCACTCAGACACATGGCTAAACATTGCTAGGCAAGTATATACTCACATTACGCAAGGAGACATCACACTCATGTTTCTGATTCACGTATTAGTACACTAATACACCACATTATTCTAATTCACGACCTCATTTAATTCTTAACAACAAACTAATGTAACAAGTGTTACTATAGTCCTCATTTTATACATGAGGAAACAAGACTTTAAAAGGTTTAATAATTTGTCCAAGGTCACCCAGCCAGGTGGTGATTAAGCTGGACTTGAACACAGACCTCTCAGATTCCAAAGCCTAAGCTTCTATCTACTACACAGTATGGCCTCTGCTCTCAAAAACCAAGACGTCTGTCTTCCCCTCTCAGTTTCTCATGATAAGCCACTATGCACAGAGCTAGAGGGATGCACTTTCCTTCTCTAGAAAGGACAGGGACAAACAGAACCTAGCTGTACACAGTGATGAAAGATGAGTGTGTGCTTTAAACCAAATCATTCTCTGCCAAACATCACAAGAGTTAAGGCAGAAATAAAAGAGATGAATAAGATACAGTTAAGTCAAGATGGTATAGGTCGGTCAAGACGGGAGAAATATATATTTATATTATGGAATATTTGAAAGCCACAGGAGCAGTAGCTAAGAAATGGACTGATGGTTATTTAAAGAATCCACTGTGCATGGCAAAATAAAATCTGAGGGATTGTTGCTTTTGATGTATAACCGTTGTCTACTTTCTTATCTCATATGACCTATACTTAAGAAGAAATGATGGGTTTCCTAGGCTATTTTTCTTAGTGTACATTACACCACACTCAGCTGGACATATTAATACCACCATGGCTCTTCCAAGTATCTGTAGAAGATTTTATATACTAGTCTTCTTTTTTTCCTTTTTTATTGCTTGCATACTAGTTAAGTCAGTGACTCCCAGTCTCCAGACATTTCCCCCTCTATCCCATCATGTACCCCACTGCCAGATTCGGCTTCCTAAAGTCTGGCTTTGGTCATGTCAATACCCTGCTTAAAAAACAAATTGTAATGGCTCCCCATTGCTTTTATCCTCAGCCTGCAATTCAGAGCCCTGTACATCTGGGTCCTAATCAATATTGGCAAGCTTATTCCTACCATAATACTGACCCTACACTCTAGTCTAGTCCAGACTACTCTTCTTCCTCAAAACACAGTCATGCTTGTCATCAACAGTCAGGCATATCTAGCTCCACTCCACTGTGGCCAGCCCAGAACATCACTATGATAGGGGAATGGATCTTATCCTGTCCAATACTGCACCCTCAGTACAGAGAGCCACCTGGCACATAGTAGGTGCTGGATGCCATTACTCATGCCTGAAAAACTCTCTGTCCACATCTTCAGTTCACAAAATCCTACTGGCTCCTTAGTTGCAGTGGCACTTTTTAAAACATGGCCTCAAAAATCTTTGGCATACCTCCCATTGAGAGTCGTCATCTGTGTCCCTTTTCCCTTGAATCGGACCCCAGGACAGCTAGGCCAATAAATACAACAGAAGTGACACTCTTACGGTTGTGCCCATCAAATTGTTTAACACTCCTCCCTTGGGGTGGAAACCACTTTCCCTGCCCTTGAGTGTGAGCTGGACTTAGTCACTAAAGCAAAAGAGACAGTGTGTGACTTTGGAAGCTAAGTCCTAACAAGGCACTGTGGCTTCTGCCTTGTTTGCTTTTGCTCTCAGATCACTTACTTTGGGAGAATTCAGCTTCCATATGATGAGTGGCCCTATGGCATGGCCCATGTGGCAAGGAACCAAGGCCTTCTTCCAACAGACTTGTGAATGAGCTTGGAAGCAGATCTTTTAGCCCCCATCAAGCCTTCAGATGACTCCATTCCTGCCCTACAACTTGACAGCAGCTCATGAGAGATCTTGAGCAAGAACCACCCAGCTAAACTGCTTCTGGATTCCTAACACCCAGAAACTCTGTGATATAATAAATGTTTATTGTTTTAAGCTACTAAGTTTTGGGGTAATTTATCACACATTAATGGAGACACATGCCAGTTTCTGAGACCAGGCCTTAAAAAATAAGAAACTTCCATTTCCTGTCTCTTGGAACACTCACTCTTAGAACCTAGCAGCCAGGTTGTAAAGAAGCCAAGGTGGCTATAGCGAGGCTCACACAGACAGGAACCAACAGACAGAGCAACCTGCTAGTCATACAAGTGTCCATCTTGGAAGTGGATTCTCCAGCCCCAGTTGAGTCACCCCAGCTGTCCCTGCCAAGCCCTACCCAAATTGCAGATTCATGGACAGAATAAATGATTGCTGATATTTTAAGTCACTAAGTCTTAGGTGGTTTATTATGCAGCAATCAATAATGAGAACAGATTTTGGCATCTGAAAGTGGAGTGCCGCTTGTATCAAACCCCTAAAATCTGAGGCATCGCCATTGGGACCAGGTAGCAGGCAGAAGCCTAACAGGCTTCAGTGAAGGCTAAAAAAGAAGAAGAAAAATATTGGAAGCTGGAGGAAAGGGCACCCTTGTAACGTAGTGACAGAAAGTCTGGTAACCTTATCAACTGAAATAAGGTAGAAAAGAGTTCCTCATGAAGTTAATCACATAGCCAAGGAGATTCCAAGCAGAATACAGAAGTGCCCACTGGCTTCTTGTCACTGCCCATGATAAAATGCAAGAAAAGAGAGATGAGTTAAAGAATAGACTATTAAATATAAAGTAGCTAGGACTTGCTGAGTTTGAAAATAAAACTATTTCTTATTCCCAGCCTCTGTAGATAGCAAATGACTCTCAAATTAAGAAAGGGCCCCAGTCCATAGATCAAACCTAGAATGGGAGATCTAAGACAGTGAATCACAGAAACTTCCAGACACACAAAAGGCCCTCTAAGAATCTTAAGGGCATCCCTTAAGATCCTCCCCATTCAATAGGGCTTCTCAGAATCTCAAGGGCGTTGTCCCTCAGCATCCTCCCAGGGAGCCCAAAATAGAGAAAGGCTTCTCTTGGAGAGGTTTGTCCTGTGGCTTTTGTCTAAAGGAGTGAGGGCTTGCCATTCTGAATGTACTCAAATCGGCCCATCAGGATCCTAATGGCAGAAACTTTTCCCTCCTCAGGCCCTCCTTGCTGTGGAGTATGGCTCAAAAGGAAACAGAAATCACATCATGCGCAGAAGTTGCAGAAGGATGACCCCCTGCCATGAGCACAACCCACGGGGATAGCCCGGTGACTGAAAGGCCCTTCACCAGGGGCCTAAAGAGGAATCAGGAAACAGGAGGTCAGGAGGTGAGTTCCCACCTCAGTTAATTCAGGTCATCCCTCACTGATCAGGCCTCATTGATTTTCTCAGCAGATCAAAAAACTAAACAGAATACCCAGGCCCCATACGCAATATACCGTCTTAAAAATTTTCCCTGGGATTCTAAAAACAGATTATTCACATCTCAGAGAGGGATCTCTCTGTTGCCTGAATGATACATCTCCTCCCCTGAGCTTAATAGAGACACATCCACCTGTATTCCTAGGAAAGATATATTGATTAAGAAATGCAAAAACCCTAACTCAGAAGCAAGATGATGTTCAATCTTCTTTTTTTCTCTTAGTAAATAGGGCCATAATTCCAAGTAAATGGCATGTGAAGCTGTTAAGAGCCAAGCCCCACATTCACGTGTCGATGTTCTACTGGTTGTAAATAACATGCCTGACTGCACCAGGAACCAAATTGCTCGTTAGCTGCGAACATTAGTTGTTTAATGATCTGAAGAGCAGAAGCTGCCAATTATTGTATTCCTTCTTAAAACGCCATTTAAAACCCATACATGTAATTATTATACCTTTTTGTTAAATTTTTATTATTCTTCTGAAGCTGATGAGCTGTGGGCTTGTTCAACCCATAAAACTCAGAGAATCTTCAAGGATGTCATCTCATAACTGAGCTAAAAATCCAGGTATCACACCTGGACTCTATCACACCCCGACCTGCCACCACTCAGCTAACTGAGTGAACTCAACCAAAGGACGTACCCCAGGGCCTCGATCTCCCCATCGGTTCGTGGGATCACAGCAGCTCTCCCACCTTCCTAATATAGCTGTTGTGAAAATAAAATAAAGTAACAAATGCTGAGGAATGTTTAAAAGCACTGTTCAAATGAAGAATAAGATACTATTTTCAGAGACTCGTATTTTCAACCTACAGATTAATGGAAAAATATACCCCTTAATAATTACCAGATTAAGGAGGGATTATGATCCATGGAAAATGCTCCAAAAATCTATAACCTATGACTAGATTGCTAAAATGAGTACACCAGCTTGTCTCATGCTATCATTCCTTCCCCCTGGAGGAAGGGTTGGTCACATCCAATAATCCTCCTTGAGCATCTACAGATACACAATGCTATATAAATATCGGCTAGAATTATATGGCATACAGAGTACATCTAACCTCTAAACTCTTAAAGAAATAGGAACTGTAAGTCCAAAATAGGGTACCTACAAAAATAATTTATTTTATATTGTGTGTACATAGGTATTTTTAAAAGCCTTATCCATCACTTTATAAGGAGACACTGCCCATTTATTCCATGGGTTTTAGTGAAAGTCCCCAGGAAAGCTCTGAGATGTCTGAGTATGACATAAGGAATAGTTGAATGTTCATCAAGGAGAGAACATGGATGTGGTGGTGGTTGTCATCAGTCCACTCCAACTGCTTCAATGTCTCCTCTATTTCCAGTTACCTGATGCTGCAAGCATTTTGGCTTCAAGCAGTGCTGGGAGTTGGGTTTCGATATCGTTAACTTTCTTCCTCAGAGTGCTGCAGAGTCTCTCACTCACACCCACCTAGAGGGAGAGAAACAGCCACAAATCCTCATTTATTCA